CTCCGCCTCTGATTGGCTAGTACTGGTTGCCTTCGTTGGTTGGGTGAGTGAGTGCCAGGAGCTTATTGAGGCTTATCTACTTGTGCTGATGTTACACTTTATTTTATTATTTACCCATATCCTGTAATTGTCTCTTGTGCCTATAGTGGCCCTTGTTCAGAAAAATATTGTTTTAAAATTTCAACCCAACGCCAGAACAGACATACCCTGAATGTGAGATGGAAAGAAAAATCTGCTTCAGACAACATAGCTCCCTATCTCTTCCCTCTTTGGTCCAACTGCTCTTCCCACCTCCAATTTAACCATCTCAGGCTTTAGTATGGCTATTTCCACCTCTCCCAAAGGCTGGCCAAGGAGTGCTTTTTAAGAGCATACCGGAGTCTCAATTATGTGTTCTGCTCCCCTAACAATTTAAACTTTTGGGGTAAACACTCCAGGGTTTTATTGAACTGCTCCAAAAATAAGTGTGTTAAAGAATTTTAAATTGTCATGCTTTTCCTTCTTTCTCTCTAAGCTGCCAGTATTCCTCAAGGAAAATACTTTCTTTTTACCCTTTTTTTTCCCTCAGAGAGTATCCTTCGCTGAACTTCAGATTTCTTGTTTCATCTCTCTCCTTATCTTTTCCTTTCACTGCGTCACTTTCTTCTTTTCTCTGTTGTCCCGCTCAACTGTCATCTTTACTTTTATGGCCTCTGCCTTTGCCTTTACTTTGCGTCTTGCTTCTCTATAAAAGGGAATAAAGTTAGTTACTTTTATCAGCTCCTACTGCGGACCAGGAGTCAAATAATAAAGTTGCTAGCTTGTTGAAACAAATCCTCCAAAAGAAAATGTTGAAGAGCATTTAAGATGAATAAATAAAAATATAGGTGTTTTTTTTTTTTAATTCAAAATTCAAGCTACCATTTAAACATGTCCAATTTTTACACATTGGACATGTGTTGTTGTCAAAAATCTTTGCAGAGCACAGCCTCTGTCCCTGTTGGAAATAATGGCTTTTCTCTGCGTGATGTCGGACTTGTGCTTTTGGTGTGAAAGCACTGATAGTTCGAACATGATTTCTTGAAAGAGTGACACCCCTGATACTTGTTGGTTGATTTTTTACTCAACTTTTTCAACAAAACAAATCTGTTAACAAAAATTGAGTGAATGTAGCCATATGCCCTCTGTTATAGGGCTATGGGACAGAAACTCAAAAAAGATAGGAAGAAATGTAGCACACAGCTACCCTATAAAGCATATTAATCATATTTTCATATTTGGGGTCAATTTTCACCATATAACCATATCAATCTCAGTAGTAGTAGAAGAAGTAGATTAGTTTATACATGCACACAAAGCTGGTTTGAGTTGCAAATCAGTGAATAATGATGAAGAGGAGGAAGAAAAAGCTGAAAAATAGAACTCTACAAAGAGAAAATCCAGATCCATAAGACCAATTTGCTGGTAAAAATGTCAAAGCTACAAATCCCTTTAAATTCGCACTTGACTTATTTTTTAACATTATCTCCTCTGTCCTTCTCCGCAGCCCTGACCTTCATTTATTGTTCAGCATCCTCTCAGCCTCTGTCTGTCTCTGCTACCCTCTCTGCCTAATCTTCCCTCCCTTACTTCGCCCTCCCTCACCCTCTCGAATTCTCCGCTCCAACCTTTGGCTAATTTCTTTGCTCAAGAGACGGCAAACATCATTAACGAGGATGAGTCATTAACAGTGTAATTAAGGAGGGCGGGTCATCTGTACAAAAGCAGTCTCTACAGCAGTGCAACGGAATGGAGATAAGAACATCGGTTTGAGGTCGTTCATCTCTGGCAGGCACACACACACACACACACACACACACACACAGCGACTCTGTTTGTCATGCTAGTCTCATGTAGCTCTATCTGGCAGTGATACCGTTAATCAGGGGACTGGTGGCTCAGTTGACAGGTGATGAAAGACACATAGAACAAACAATTGAACTTGGTCCTTGGTGGGGCTTTGAGTGTCCACAGGGAGAAGGAGTTATTATGGTATTGATTGAGAATATTGACTGACTGACTACCTCAGTCTCACACACACACATTAACCAGCATGTGTGCCATCTTGCTTTATTTGCACAAAAACACACAGAAATGCAGAGAAACACCATAAGATTGCTCGACTGCTTCATGTTCTCACCAAAGCACACACACACACACACACAAACACACTGACGCACACGCATGCACTTACGGTGACTCAGTGCAGTCTCTCATTGATTACTACTGACCTTCCACCTTCATCTGAGCCAAGTGGCAAGAGGTGAGACAGAGGAAAGGGTGATATGGTGAACTGCGTACTTCGGGGAATGAAAGGAAAAGACAGGAGCTAGGAGACAGATGAGGGAGGATGGAGGTAAAAGGAAAATGATGAGAGATGGATGACAATGTCCCTGGGCAGTGGGATGATAAATCTTGAGAGGGGTGAGAAACGAAGCCACCCTGATAGTTGGGGAATGACAGGACAGGAGAGAGTGGTGGAGAAAGCGAGAGGGGGGTCTGATTGCACGGTGTGATGGCTGTGCCGTATGTGGGCCAGGCAGTAATTGTGCGATGTATTGAACGAGTGCTGTCAGGCCGGCTATTAGCTACTCTCAGCGGCTGGAGTGGACGAGTGGAACACTACTACAGGAAACAGGGCTGAGTGACACTTAGAAAGAGAGAGGGAGACATATGAGAGGCAGAGAAAGAGAGAGAGAGAGTGGTGTGTGTGCAAAGTTGCCTGATGCGTCTTTAAAAAGAGCATCTTATAGCAGGTCTAAAACTATACTATAAACTATAAAAACAATCCCTCTTGTAAACCATTGCTTTATCCCTTCAATATCTTCAATTACACTAGCCGTGCATTACAGTACATCATGACAGACACTTGTTTTTCCTAAGATTATGTTCAAGGACGATGGTTTTAAATGTCCTATGCAAAAAATATGAATCCCTCCAAAGTTAGCACATCTTGTATGGTTAGGCAACTTTGAGGTACTCAGCAGACTTTCTGCTATGGAGCAGTGCTATGGAGCAATGTTTTTATAAGTTGGTCTTTGCTTCGCTTGTATCGATTCCTCACACAAGCACAAGGCCAACGCAATACACATTCCTGAGACATAACTTTGTATGTTTACAAGAAAACTCCACAGGGACCTTTAGAAGCTTGGTTGGGGAGAAATCATGTTCATGGTAAAAACAGCAGCATATTTCTTTTCTGACTTCCAGAGGCAAGCACTGACCACACACGTAGATCCTCATTTTTTTTATTCTAGTCAAGTTCCTGAGGTTTCTTAAGTAGCCCAATATCTCCATCTGGATTACAATGATGTAAAACATTGCACAAAACAACT